GCTTGTGCTTTGGCCTTGCTTGGTTTAAATCGGCAGCCATTATTCCATCAATTTTACAGCTTCTGAAAGAATTGTCATTTTTTTGTGTTTCATCTCGTCTCCTCTCCCTTTCTCTTTGCCTTATGCGTTTGTGCTTTCTGTTTTTTGATGGCTTCTTAGTTGGATTTCAGAAGAATGGTAATAAACACATGGGTTCAATTTTCCATGTTTAACTGAAAGCCCTCTTCGTTGTTCAGGTTTCTGTGTGTCTGGTCTCCCCGACTAGAGAGTGAACTCCAAGGAAACCATTATTGAAGTGTTATTATACATTGTTTTATAGGATCTTCCAAACAGGCATTCTACTTATGTTTATGGTTGATATTACGGATTACCTTGAGTGGCCAGCACAAGTACCCTTGAGGTTACATAAAAGACTTTTCAAGAACACTGGCAATTTCTAGGACTTCAACTTCCACCTGTACCCCTTCCTAAAATTAATCTAACATTTGCAGCCCATGTATCGTATTGGCTTTCCTTTCTCTTTTCCTCTTTAATGATGCATTTCTCTCCTTTTCCCCCTCTCTTTTACACACACACACACACACACACACACACACACACACACACACCCCACATCTAAATCTTTTTCTGGCACAATTTGCCCAGGGTGTAAAAACCTGCAGGGCAGCATACAAACATACAATTTGACATATTGCTTTGGGCCAACTTCTTCCAACTAAGGCCCCATAAGCTGAGGTATGGCAGTACGGTCATACATATATATAACATTTTTCTTCCCCTGCCAACAGCTCAGCTTGGTATGAGAAAACAGGTATTTGGCCCATGTCTGAATGTAGATATATTATAGTGGGGGAAAGGATGCAGTAATGACGATTTTTAATTAAAGAATTTGCCTCTTCCATCTGTTGTCAGAGAAAGCATCGCTCCTGAGGAAGTCCTAGAGAAGTAAAGCTAGAGGAGAAACGTTGAAGGTGATGGCTCCTTCTTTCTTCCAGCTAATGGCAAGATTCCATGTGTTGTCTAACTACCTTAGTACACTGTTACTCAAAATCCAGAAAACCTAGAAAGATAGCACCAAGATCCTGGATTCTAAACACCATTCTTCAATCAAAAACCAGGGCAGACCTCTTAGAGAAGTGGTTGGTTCCAAAGGTGGGTCAGGGAGACCTGAACTGGAACATCAAACATGGAACATCTTGTGGTTCCAGGATGTAAGGAAATACCAAAAGCCAACCAACAAGCAAAGAAACAATGAGGATTTGTTTAAAGAATAAAGGAGCCAAAGTGAAGGAGCTCTCCTAATAGCCAAAGGAGGAACAATGTGAACAACAAAAGAAACAATGGTATTATTGGATTTTAACTCACAGAACAAAATAAACATCTGAGTACACAGTATAAAAAAATCAAATAAATGGGAGAGGAGCATCTCTCTACTTGCTAGATGGAATGATAATCAATTCATGAATTACTTAATAAAGCCAATTGCACTTTCAAAAAATTAAAAGATTAAAAAATGGTGGAGAAGAGACAGCTAGCACAATCTTAGAGAATTCCAATTAGCGTAGGAGAGAGGGAAACAGAACATCACCACGTGCAAAACATCACAGGAATAATTGTAGATGAGATCCACTAAAACTAGTGGGTGAGTATAGGGTAACAATTTGCCTGGTCTCACAAGTATCTCTCCCAAGATATCTGTTAACTAAAAGGGTAACTTTACAATGAAGAAATCTGACTGAAACCACCTTAAGCAAATAACCAAATCAACATCACTAATAATAAATAAGACATATTGACACTAGAAATCCTGTGATAGGGTGGATGGAGGACAGCTTCACTGCTGTCATTTTCTTCCAAAAAGTACGACCTTAATTCAATCACAACATCAATAAACCCAAACTGAGG